AGTTTTAGTTTCACATTTTACATGTGTGAAAAAAAAGTTTTGAGCTATCTCTTACTGAGAAATGACATGAGCAATGGCTGCACCGCTAACGCCAAGGTCGAGCACAAAGATGAAAATTGGGTCGAGAATGATATTGATAACATCTGCCACGACTGTTTCATGCATCACAATGATACATATTAGACTCATGATATAGTAATATGTTAATTATTGTCATAAGGTTCAACACAAATGATAGGAAAATGTAACTTACCAGTGGCATAAAGAGGAGTTTTGGTGTCCTTGAAGCCACGAAAGATGCCTTGCATTGAAAGCGATAGAAGCAATGCAGGAGAACCTAATGATCGTATGGTCAAGTACTTGTGCGCAGGTGATAACACTGCTGAATTCTGATCATCCAAAGTCAACTCAGATTAGTCAAACATTTTGTCTTATCCAATAATATGTGCATGTCTATCTATTCATTTAGTATTACAGTGAAAACCTCTATAAATTAATAATGTTGGGACTATACCAAATTTTTTTTTTTTTTATTAATTTAGAGAGATATTAATTTATAGATATATTAACTAAACCAAAAATTCAATTTGGGATTATAAAATTATATTAATTTATAGAGATATTTAGTGTATATTAATTTATCGAATATTAATTTATAGGGGTTCTACTGTATACCGGTTTCACTCCCATGACGCCTAGAAGTATCTTTGAGCTGAAAATCAAGGCAATAGCTTGCACAAGGCCCAAGATTAATCCTATGATCATGGCCGTTGATGCCGATTTGATATTCTTCTTTCCTTTCTTTTTTGCTTTGTTTCCGCTGCTTGGCTTTGTACCTGGCGTTTGCTGCGGCTGGCTCGTGTTGTTACTTGCGGGTGACGCGACACCTTTTTCCAAGGAATCTTGAACGGCTAAAGCATTTGCAAGAGCACTGGCTTTGTTTGCTTCGTCTTCTTTCATCTTCTCCATCGTGTCTTCCTCGGCGACAAAGGAAGTTGTGACGCTCACAACTGGGAATATCGTGATTCTAGAAGCTTGGTTGAATATCGCAATGGATACTCCAAGCGCAGCTAGCTCAACCGCTCCTAAACGTCCAATATAAGCGGTGTCAATCAGAGAGGCTATTGGATCAGCAGCAAAAGCCAAAGCCGCTGGGAACGCCATGCTTAGTATCTCTCGCCCAATAGCATCCATACTGAATACATGTCTACAAGATAGATATAATAAACGTTATGGCTCACTCTCTTTTAGTATTAATCTTCACTAACTCATTTCAACAAACTTACGTTAAATCTTTGAAGATAACAAGAAATGGGAACGTCTTGATCACGCTGGGTGGAACAGAAGTAAGATCACCAGTTTCTGTCATGAATCTTCTCCCTAGAAACTGCCAGTGTTTAATTTGTCGTGTCTGAAAATATCGTACATGTTTCGAACAATCGAATAAGCAAGGCGAAGGTTTATACTAATAACTATGTACAGATGTATCTGTATTTGTAGACACGTAATGAGCATGCATGTCTTTAGTATTAATTTGAAAAAGTGTTTCATTTCTTTCTGTAACAAAAGTTCTTTCTTCGAACGTTACAAAAAAAAAACGTTATTTCTTCTATTTCTGTTGGGAAAAATCTCCTTCCCTATAAAGACACAAAAATATAATTTTTATTCAATGAAAATAGGTACATAATAAACATCGTATTTCAATAAGTCTTATAGAAAATTTAGGATTTCCCTTCTTAATATTTTTTTTCTATGAAAATATGGTCCTTATATTTTACCATAAATAAACAAGTATATGGTCCTCATGTATTAGAACAAAAGTTATGGCACTGATCAAGCTTTTTGTGAAAGGATATAAGAGCATCCCCATTGGAGTATTTAAGGGACGGTTCACACAATTCCCCAAAACAAAAAGTAATAAAAAATGATTAGTTGCATGAACCTGTACCCCAAAAGTTCTTCCCCATGAATCTGTATCAACACTGTTACGCGGGCTCCACGCCACGTGGCGGCCCGCGATTGGTCTATTATTATTATTATTATTATTATGTTTTTAAATGTGCAAACGAAAAAAAATAATAATAATAATTTTTTTTTACTTATGAACCTCCTTCCATCGGTTCACTAATGGGGGTGCTCTAACAGTTGAAAGTTTCCTTACTCGTATTTATCATAGTTGAAAAGAGTTTTGACTTCTCCCTTTAGATCCTCATTTTATTTTGCTATCTTCCACTAAAAAGTGAACTAAATTCACTGGTTGCCAAAAATGTTGCTTTATCATTAAACAGCGACTAATAATCTGAGACTTTACAAAAACTTCCTAGTGTTTTAATTTTGTGGTTGTTAAAAAAAAGATAGCAACATAAACCAACACAGGTGACTTGTATATAGTGCGTGTCGTGTGTATGTAATTTTACCGTACGATATATGTCCATCTTTCCCAAAGCATCCACGTCTATTTCATTAATTACCAACAAATTAAACACAGACGATGTCGAAAACTAGACACATAAATGGCCTACTTACGTTGAGATGTATAAACTTTTAGGATAGATTATATGCTATACTTAGAAGAAATTAAAGAACTTAATTACGAGATACATGGAAGAAACTATCTTTACCTGGATGTTAGTCAACGCTTGTATATGTTATCACGTGAACTTGAGATGAGTAGCGACACAAGTGACTATTGAGTGTTTGGGAGAGTTTAAAGGAAATAATTACTAGGCGTGTGCCAGCAGTAGTCTTGGCTCCAATTTAATAAAATGTGTGCCAACACTTGGCTCCAATTTATACACAAATTCCATTCACACTCCCTTTCTCATTTTTGTCCATATGTTTTCCTCACTATGCTTTCTGTATAAAGTAATGCAATCCTACTTTTTTTACCTTTAATGTATATTATTTTTTTGTTAAAAGTTGAGTAATATATACTACTTAATTTCCCAGCTTTTCAAGGCGTGTGTATACCACATACCACATCAATATCCTCAATTTCTTACAAGATACAACTTTATATAATAAGTTTGTAAATATATGCATTCGTAATTGCTAATACTGTATATGCATTCGGAATTGCTATATGGGCACCGTTCTGACTACAAGGATATGATACAATCCAGTTTCGTCCCTTGCCTCTAATACTATAATTAATATAAATAAAAACCGATGGCATGATTTTCAAATCCTTTTCTATGCTTATTTTAGTTCTAGGCGTCTTTGCTTTAACCGTATCTAAAGTCAAACAATTAGCTGACAATTCATCGATTAATAGGTATGAATACGAAATATTCGATTTGAGTATGAAACCAAAACCATTTAAGTGACCAGAAAACGTATGAGAGACATGACGTAGTCGCTGAAGTCACAATCAACGTAACAGTCAGAACCAACGAAACATTTTATGCAGCAAGAGTGGGCTGCGTAGGATTCCCAATTAAAATGCAACAAATGATCACTTAGTTTAACATTCATTTGTCTTTTTTTTCTTTCGCATTTGTTTATATTTAATATAGTTGTATATATGTTTTGATTGTTATGCGCCTTCACCTTACCTAATATTTTTTCCAACACGATGGCCATTGAAGTATATTTGATACCTTACGTTTCTTTTATCATCTACTCTAAGCTACCTTATGTTAATAGTTATTATACTATATAAATGGGCGTTAATAATATGATTAATATCTCAAACTATAATCAGATGAAATGTAAATTGATTCGTTGAAGAATTATTAGATTTTTTTTCTGATTTTTCTGTAGGAAATTTTAGATAAGAAGTGCGCACCCTAAATTCAAAAGATAAAATGATTTGACAACACACAATACTTTCTAGTTTCTATAAAGAGTACAAGAAAAAGTACGAATGTACCATGGCCTAAAAATTTCATAGGACAACACTTAACGTCTCTTGGAAATTATTCAACCAAAGACATCAACACTCCAGAATGACACCATTATGTCTATTCGCACAACGGCACGAGTAACTATTTTTATACTATTTGTTGCTTTATTAGATGTATTGTTCGATTTGGAGACTGGAGCCAATGAGAAGGGAAGACATTTGTGCACATATGGCCCCAAGTGACTGTATCGTCTGTAAATGAATTGATTACTTGGGAACTATGGAACTAGATGTATTTGTAAAGGCTTTTTCGGTAATGTATATGAACTGGATCATAAAGCCTTTATCTCCGACCAAACAGAAACGAATCCAAACCGGAACCAAATGACAAGGCGTAATGTTTCCTTTGGGCTCATTTCAATAGAAAGCTCACCTCAAGTTCAAACTCATTCTTGTTTTCTTCATTATGATGAGACAAACAAGAATGAGTTAGTAAGTAATTTGTTTTCTTCGTTTTTTTTTTTGTTTTTTGTTTTTTGTTTTTTTGTTTTTTGTTTTATTTGCTAGGATGAGTTTGGGTCTTCGGCCTTAATCCCCCCTAGACCTGGTATCAGCCTGCGTCTGTATCCGCGCAATGGGACCTAAGTCATATCGTGGCCAGTACTAATCGAACCCGGAGCCGTATTTGCAGCTGCAAGTCGTTCACCACGAGACTAACTCGTCTGGTTAATTTTCTTTGTTTTTTTACAAAGTCGATCTTTTATATTTTCTACGTAACGTTAGTAAGTAATTTATTTACTAACTTAACCATGCCAATTAATTAATAAATGATAATTTTGGTATTGTAACTTGGATGGAAATATGATATTTTGTTGAAAACAATGATATTTCAAGCGAGAATGATTTCTTATTACGAAATCGAGTTTTACATATCACTCAGATTTGTACACAATAAAAAAGAAAAATCTATACAAATAATAAACTAACTAATCACCTCATTGTGTGGACCATTATTGAAGTATTTCCTCAGCAAATAAAATCTCAATGTACCTCTCAATTCACATTTCATGTACTAAAGGAACCATGCATGCATGTAGACTTAGAATAGAGAGGACCAATGAGTAAAAGGAAGATAGAACGCAAGAGAGAATATTTGTCAATCAACTTGGAAATCAAGGAAGGTGAAAGAAGAGTTGTTATCGATGAGACCATCCAAATCCCAATCTCCTATTTTAGGGCTTTCTATATCCCAATAACTACTCTCCATGCCCATCCTGTTTAAGCTGTTTCTCGTGGTACAAGCAATGACATTGGTATTCTCTGTCGAGGGAAGAAACTGTTCACTTTCTACCCACGCTCTTTTGCCAATAGGATCAAGAATTACGTTTCCATAATCTCCTAACCCATTAACGTTGAAAATATTCTCTGTGTTTCCCATTTGTTGATATCGTTTATGATATGGTTCTGAGATCAATGGATCAAACTGGTTTAAGCTCACACCACTTACCACAGGTGCAAAACTGAATGAAGAAGAGTCCATGCGCATTGTATTTCCCACTATCATCATGTCATTATGATGATGATTACTATCCATCATTGGATTTGACTTGCCACCCATGTCCACATGGTTATCTTTTGGGTCCAAAAGATCACTATTACAATTGTAAGGTAATAAACCTGAAGAAGTATTGTTGTTGTTGTTCTTAAGCCTCTTCTTCAACGTGGAGTTCCAGAAGTTTTTGATCTCGTTATCTGTTCTTCCTGGAAGCTGAGTAGCTATTTGAGACCATCTGGTGATAAAAATAGATATATATGAACATTGAGAATAATTCTACCGCGGGCCACACAGCCCCAAACCTTGCATTTGCATTTACATTTACGTGTGAAAAATGTATAGATAGAGTTAATTTTTACTAATAATGGTTATAGGTGAACAAATATAAGACTCATTAATTCTAAGCCACGGTTGTTTTATAATTCTGGTTAAGTGCTTGCATTTGCAAATTTACCTATTACCAAGAATGGCATGCAAATGAATGATGAGATCTTCTTCTTGAGGAGAGAAAGAACCACGTTTAAGATCAGGCCTCAAGTAATTGATCCAACGAAGACGACAACTTTTGCCACAGCGTAAGAGACCAGCATTCCTAGCAATTTCACTCCAACATCTTTTTCCATTGTTCTGCATGTACCTTATGAGCTTCTCGTCTTCATCAGGAGACCAAAGTCCCTTTCTCAACTTCGGTTTGTTGTCACTACTACCACATGGATGATTTGGCTTGCTCTTGTTTCTGATTTTAGTAATGTCCGGATTGCTCATCATCATTTGGACTTGTGGAGTCTTTTCTTAAGAAGACTACAGAGAGAGAGAGATTTAGAATGTGGAGAGATTGTAAGAAGGAGAGTATAGATGGATAGGGTGATATGAAGTATCAAATATATAAATAAAGCATGAGTTGTAAGTTTACGAGTATATTTTTGATTGTTGTTTACTTAGGATATCTTTTTGTTCTAAACGATAAATAATAACCAAATTTCACCATCTAAAAAGAATATATTATATTTTCCGACAAAAAAAAAAGAAATAGACATGTTTTTGAAGCAACATCCATTTTAAGACACAATCAGCAGAATCTAATAAAGAATATTTAGAAGCGACTAAAGATACTTCCACAAACATGTGGACATAATAGAATATACAAGATCGATGCGACAACACATCTAAACAGATGATATCAAATCGGTACGAAAACATGTGTAACGTGAATGGACAGAAAGGAAAACATCATTTTAGACCACTCTCTATTTAATACTCATTTCAAGAAAATTCACATACATTTCACGTGACATAAAAACCATCATCTTTAAACAGATAAAAAAGACGATTATATTTATAAAGAATGCCGAAATAAAAGCAGCATTTTTTCAAAAGAAGTGAACAAAAACTAGAGCAGATTTTTTGAAAATAATGTGCATCCAATAAACATTTGTAAAAATAAATCATTGCTTGCTTAACTAATAAAGGATAGATAACATCAAGGATAAACCATTCTCTGTCTTAATGCTAAAACTCTACTATCGGACCACTGTAAATCACTGAGATTAATATGTACATATTTACCACCATTTGTGGTTAGAATTCTCCTTTTTATCAACTGCTAAACTAAACATGGACATATATGTATTGCATGTGATGATATATCTTCTCCTCGATTGTAACTTTTTTTTCATTTCCCCATCTACCTCGCCTCAGAATAGGATATTGTCCATGGTAAGTGTTGTTCATCGATCCTACAATATTCTATTATGTCCACATGTTTGTGGAAGGATTTTTAGTCGCTTCTAAAGAGCGACATAACTCTAAGGTAAATCTTGTTTCCTAGACTTCAAGATCTCCTATGTACCTAGATCTCTAAATACTGTATCCGATCATTTAGCTAAGACTGCCCGATCCTTTTATCGTGATCTCTTGCATGTTGGTTTTCTATTCCGGTCTTGATTCCCAGACCACCTCAAGTTTGAGTAATAGATCAGCCTTTCGTTGTCAAAAAAAAAAACTCTAAGGTAAATCTCATGGTGAGTTAACACCACTAATGTATATGCATTTTACAAGCAGAAAAGAAAGAAATATAATTTGTTCAGAGGCAACAATGTTGTTACTCAACTTTATAGAAACTTTAGTGTGTAGAATTAATACTGATTTATCTTAGGTGATATGTTCATGCGAAAATATTGACCCAACACCCAACTTATAAGCTTGTATTTGTTTAAATCAAGAACATCCATAGAAGCAAAGCCATAGATATCTCTGATGTGTCTCAATGTCCAAGTGAACTAAGTCATTGACTTGATTTCCACAAATCAGTCAACAAATTTGGAACGCCTGTGTGTATTTCCGGCCCCCGAAACCATGCAACACGAGGAAGAGCCAATATCAGTCCATAAGATTTGGTTCTCTGACCATGCGAGACTCATCATCATCCTGTGTAACTATCGACACATTATTGAGAACAAATTTGTATTTATTTACAAGTAATCATGGTTAGATTTTTTTTTTCATCGATCAGCTAAACCAAACTCACATGTACATAGGGTCGGCTCTGCTCTGGGCTAAAGCTGGTAAAGTCCAAGCGTTAGGCGCCAAATTATATTATATATTAGAAGGGAACCAAATTGTCAAATGTTTACTATAGACTAGTGTTTCGAGTTGCTATTGGTAAGGGATGGTGGGTTTGACTCTTCTCCTACGCATATTTTTATTGAACGATTTTATGGATATGCTTGATGTTATTGGGCTTTAGGCGCCAAAATGAACTGGACCGGGACTACATGTACACGTATTGTGCACAAGATGATATACTTTCTTCTCAACGTCACTTTTTTCCCTTTCTCGATTACTTTTTGCAGGAAAAGACTATTGTCCAAACATAAACTGTCAAATCTTTCTTTATTAAAATCCACAACACATGTTTTGGTAGTACATATAGTCTTAGAACATGATTATCGCTATAACTCCATTATGATCTCTTAATGATTTTCACAAAACCTTCAACCTTTCTCATCTGATGAACGATGTGTAAGCAAGAAGGAGAGACTACAATAAGAAGAGAAAAAAAAATACATACTTAAGTCAACCATGGCACCTAGGTTGTCTGAATCGGCAACAAACACACATTCTTTACCATGTGAGACCAGGAAAGCCAAACTTTCAGTACATCAATTTTAAATGGCTGGGAAAAATGATCATCGATTGCAACAAAAGAAAATGAACCTGTGATACGAAGGCATCGAACTTTCCACTGTTGATGAGGGATTGGAACAAATCAACAAGAGCAGGAGGGTACCTTCACAAATATAGGACATTAGTAGGCGATCTGATAAACTACAGAAGACATCGATCAAAGGAAAACGGATGAAACTGCAACCAAGGGCAAGAAAACAAATTGTAGAACGAATAAACAAGCAAACGGATGACATAAAATTTACAAGAAATGAAGAAACAGTTTCATGAAAGCAAAATCGTAAAGTTTATGCTCTTTAGACTACATACCACAAAATCGGTGATGCCAGTTGGTTACCACCTCCAGACTAGGTTCCTCACGACATACTACTATGCACACGATTTCGTCAGCCATGCATCTCTCTGGCTTTCAGAAGTCCGTCGTCTATCTTGTTTTCAGTATTTTCTCGTCGCTTAGTTCTCCGTAAGAGAGATAACAAAGTTATACTACCACTCTAAATATAACCACGGATCGACACCCCGTGACCAATATATATATATTTTTTGACCTTTTTATTAGCTGTTTGATCCCGGTCAAAAAAAAATCTCCAGTTATGTAGTCCGTTAGTGTAGAGATGTTGACAGTTCAATGAAGATGCAGAAAGTGAAGAAGCTGACAGAGAGATCAGGTTTAAGGAGCCTAGCGAAGACAGCCAGAATTGGTTCAGTTGCGAAGAAACAGAGGGATTGCTATCAGGGAAAGAGTGGATACAGTCCCTAGAATTGACGCCACTGGTTTGAAGTTATCTCTATGGATTCTCCCATTTTGTTCAACTGCCAGACGGTGAGAGAAAATGTACGCTTCCAGGCGAGGGTCCCGATAGTGATTGGAGGCGATTGAGAGAGACGTTCGACTGTTGTGGTTCTGATGTATTAGAAAAAAATGAATTGCAATCAATCCAAATCTCAACTGAGATAAAAGAGGGAAACATAGAAAGTTGAAGTCAACCGAATCTGATGTGGCAAAGGGAAAGGAATAAAAAAGCTGATAGTGGAGACACACTCTTATTGGTTGAGCTTTGTTGCTGCATATAAAAAAGGATGTTGCTTTTGTTTTAAGATCAGCTGGTTTTGAGACTGTTAATCTTGAAGAGATTACGCTTCAAATACATCATCTGTAGAGCTTGAGTTTGTTGTATGTAGGCCTGGGAAAAAAAAACTGAACCGAAGAACTGAACTGAAATCGAACCAAATTCCCTGAAATCAAAATCGGATTGAGACTTTCAAATACCCAAACGGTTCCTATATATCTATATCCGAAATGATCGAATTGAACTGGAACCAAACCGAAAATCGAACGAGTACACGAATAAATAAAAATATTAATTACATATAGATATAACATATTTAAATATATATATATATATATAATTTTAAAATCTATTAAAAGTATTTGAACATAGCTCATGATAATTTAATTATTATAAAGTATCCAAACTATCCTGATAGTTTTATCTGAAATATCCAAAGTAATCTAAAATATCTGAAATTTTTATCTAAATCATCTTAATTAAATTCATCTTAATTATGTGATGTTTTATCTTAAATAATGATATTTTACCCAAATTATTCGATATATCTTAACCTGAACCGATTTTTTCTGGATATTTTCCGGTTCTTAGTTTTATTATCCAAACCCAAAACTATCCGAACCGAAACAAAAAATAAATAAAGTAGTCAATAGATCATCTAACCTCCTATCCAAACTACCCAAAATCCAAAATACCCGAACCTGATATCTGAAATGCTCAGGTCTAGTTGTGGGATTTGGAGAAGAAGAAGTAACATCAGAGAGTAGGGAAAATGAGTGAGGTTAGGAGGCTAACCATGGGACTTGTTAAACGTAAAACATGCCCTCAATGGGGGGCGGCCTAGGGAGAGAAAGTCTATATATGTTGGTTTTCTCGAGATAATCTTTAAAGTCATCGGTGTAAGAAAAAAAGGTTATAAAAGCTGATAGGCCTTTTTGAGTGTATACACTGAGAAACAGAGGTGCGAAATACTGAAAGAGGTGTTATTCAAATCTAAGTCAAGGACTCTACATCACAGGGAGGCTTTGCGGTTGTTACAGGAGACCCAATCAGTAAAAATACATTTCTTCTACATTTGAATGGTTTATGACACTAATGGTTTATGGAAAATACAATTCCATAAACCATTCGAAGTAAAAATACATTCCTTTGCGGTTGTAATCAATAAGAAAAATTTATTGTCGTGAGAGGATTTCTTCTACATTTGTTTGAGTGTTACGTAATTCAAGATATAGTTTGAAAGACTTTTTTTGAAACACTGAAAGGCTTTTTTATTTACATATTTGTTAGGCAATGCCTTGTTCAAACAATCTTTATTCTATTTACATTACACATTTTCACTATCTAAATATTATGTACAAATGAGTTTTCTTCGGTGTCCTAATATCTTTTGAAACAAGCATCCCCCTCTGAGTATGTCTTCATATCTAGAATCAGAAGACATAGCATTGACTCAGCCACCACATAAGAGAATACAGTAGTAAAATCATATAAGTAAAAAAAAAAGAGAGAGGG